CATAAATAAATTATAACACCAAAATCTAGAGCCATATTTTAGGCCACTGAATAGCAGTGGCAGCTAGGGGTGTACAACTCCTCTAGAGCAGTTTTGAGTGAAGATCTCATAGGTAGTGATTCAAGTTGTAGTTTATTGACAATAGCATTCCAGACCCTGGGGGCATCAATATCAAAGGCCCTTCCTCCGGTTTTTGTATGGCAATAGGGAATGTGAACCTGGTAGATGAGCGAAGACCTGAGGTCAAATTTGTTCTTTGAAACAGAGAGGAGATCCAGTAGGTAGTCTGCGGATTTTTTTGTAAGTACATCGTGAATAAATAAAATCTGGTGTACAAGCCGTCAAACATTAAGAGATGTTAAGTTTGACCCAATGTAGAGATCACAGTGGTGAGTCCTGTATGGGCAGTTCAATGCAAATCTTAAGGCCGAGTGATAGATGGAATCAAGCTTCTTCAGTACAGTACTTGGGGCTGATTTATACACGATGTCACAGTAGTCAAGTAGAGGCAGTATGGTAGCTTTTATCAATTCCAAACGGAACATAGGGGGGAAGCAGTGCTTGTGTCGATACAGTAAACCAATTTTTAATATAGTCTTTTAACCAATATAATCAATGTGATCTTCAAAATTCAGTTTTGAATCCAGGATGACCCCAAGATACTTATAGAACTTGACTTGCTCTATTTGATCATTATTTAAGGAATGTAGTTTGGAAAAAATAACTTCCTGCTTTAATCCCGGTGAGAAGCATAGCACCTTGGTTTTGGAGGTATTTAGGACTAGTTTAAGAGAAACTAGCTGATGTTGTAGTTTGTTGAAATCACCCTGGAGCTTAGCAATCACGTCATCTGGAGAGCGGCCAGCAGTAATCAGTATCGTGTCATCTGCAAAAAGATTTACCCTGGAATGATCCAGTTCAGTGCCCAAGTCATTGACATAAAGAGAGAACAAGAGGGGGCCGAGGATGGAACCCTGTGGAACCCCCTTTTGTTATCTTAACACTGTTTGACCTCCAACCATCTATGAATACAGTTTGGGTGCGAGAAAAGAGGTAATATTTTAACCATTTTTCTGTGTTTTTGGAAAAACCGAGGCAACTTAGTTTACTAAGCAGGGTGTTGTGGTCTACTGTATCAAAAGCTTTGGACAGGTCAAGAAAAAGACAGGCACAGTACTGCTTATTATCAAGGCTACTGTAAATTTGATTCAGAGAATCTAATGCAGCAGATGTGGTGCTGCATTTTTTTCGGAACCCAGATTGTTTTAGATGTAGTAGATTGTTGGTGGACAAGAAACTGCTAATTTGGTAGTTCAATAATTTTTCAAAAAATTTTCATCAATGGGGACAAAATTGAGATAGGTCGGTAGTTATTGGGATCAATAATTTGCATGAGCAGGGGTGACTCCCAATACATTATCAAAAATATTACCAGCTTCAGAAAAATGAAGGTTAAAATTGTCAACTATTTTTTTGGGATCTGAAAAATATTCTCCATTTCGGTTAAGCTCAAAGGGCAGATTGTCTGTTTTGGATGCCTTTTCGATAGATTTGATTGTTTTCCAAAAAAATCCTGGAATTTCCATGTGATTTCAGGAGAGTGGAGGAAAAGTAGGCATTTTTTGCATGCCGTATTTTTTTTACGCATCTATTCCTTAAAATCCTGTATTCTAGGCAGTCATTTACCAAATTACTTTTCTGAGCACATGCCCAAGCCTTGTCCCTAGTTTTCATGAGCTTTGTAATCAAAGGATCATACCATGGTGGGCGGTTGCCTTTAGTTTTAAATCTAACCAACGGAGCATGTTTGTGAAGAATTTGGAGAAACGTGTACCTGAAAGTCTCCCAAGCCGTAGTCAGGTTGGGGATATCACAGACCTTGTCAATGTCTGAGTGAAGCACATCATTTGTAAATGCCTGAGTGCGGAAGTGCCTCAAAGAGTGCTTCTCAACAATTTTAGGGGGGGCTTTGGGTCTGGCTGATGATCTCACCCCAAAAATGAAGGAGTGATCACTAAGGTTATTACCCAGAACACCAGTCAGTGTGAAATTGTGAGGGGCATTTGTCAATTGGACGTCAAGCAGAGTTGACTGTCCCAGATTTTTTAGGTTGGGTCTTGTGGGGACATTTATTAATTGAAACAGGTTAAATTCATCTGTAAAATTTGTGGCCACGGCCGGCGTGTTTAGCCAATTCCAATTTAGATCACCCACTAAAACTATTTCACCTTTAGGGAGGCCCCCAAAAAGCTCTCTCAATGCCAATGCAGCTTCAACATCCTTCCAACAAGGCGGTCTATAGCAGCACACTACCAATATCTGTTGATTATTTGGGAGAGTTATTCTGAGAGCCAAACCTTCAAAGCAACATTTTTTAAACAAGGAGTGAGATGGTGAACATATATTACGAACATAGATGGCAATGCCACCTCCTTTAGATTCTCGGTCAAGCCAAAAAAGGTTGTAGTTGTCAATCGTAATCTGCAAGTCATTGACCGCAGGAGTGAGAAATGTTTCTGTTAGGCAAAAAATGTCCGGGTCAAGATTTGCCACTTCTAGTTTTAGTTGACTTAATTTAATCACAAGCCCTCTGATGTTGACATGTAGAACACCAACACCTCTCCTGCCAGAAAAATCTACAGAATTACACAAGTTCTTTTCATTTGGGCCAGGATGAAGCTCAATACCACCCAGAAATAAGAAAAGTAGAATTAACAGTTTGCACAAGTATTTTCTGTGAAAGGATGAAGAGCGGGGAACCTTGGACGAATAGCAGCAGCTCGCAAATGGTGTTAAAAAGGATACAATGATGGAGTGTACAAGTGTCTATGAGCTGTTTCATTTGCAGGTGTAGTGCCAAATCGAGCAACAAGTATTGACGCAAAATAACGAGGGTAGCCGTTTGTGGAGTTGAGTGTGGCACTAGATATGTCCGGGAGGGACAGCAGTATGATACGGAGCATCGGGAGCTTGCGTGGAGGCGTCGTTCGTGTGCAATTTTTTTCGTGACTTTCCTGGCCCAAAGCCATAAATGGTTGTGAGGGGCGCTGCAGGCGGTCAGGCTTGCTTCAACCCTTGGTTGTGAACATCCAGACGTTAATCAGCAAGGAGCATTTCTCGTCCTAATTCGACAAAATCTACGTCAATACGTAATACAAAATTATAATTCGTGTTGTAGAGAATGTACCTCCTCTACGTGTAAGTTTTGAGTGGTATGCCTTGTAATTGATGAATGATCAGTGTGCTCCCTATTTCAAAGACAATGAGTTGCTCCAGAGGGAGATGCTTTCTGAAAACGCAAAAATACCCTTTGACCTGTATCACAAGAACAATGAGTCTCACCTGAGTTATCTGTACAGGTTACTTCCAAACACACACTTTGTCCTAACATCACTTATTTAATGTTTGACCCTTATAGACAAAATCTTACATATACGCACACAATCAGCCAAGTATTCATTATAAATTATTGACAGGAATATTAACAAAATTGTATTACTACAGTGTAATATACTGCATCAGGTTACATCGCATTAACAAGAAGCTATTTAAAAAAATACACACCGTCTGCTTAACAGTCTATGTACAACATACTATTGAGCCATTCAAAACGAGTAGGCCATTTCATGCTGGCATCTGGGTCAAAATTTATGAAATTCTAAACATTACCTACAAACTCCAGAACCAAGATGCCACATCAACCATCGCCCCCTACTGACAGGCTCTTGTCCACATGCAGGCCGGTGCAGGGCCACCACCTTGTGCCACACAGGGGCAGCTGCTACTTGGGGATGCTCTTCAAGTGTTTGAGACGAGATACGATACAAAACTCCGAATTGCCAGAGGCGATTAAGCAAGCACCGTATAAATGGAATTATTAGAACATAGTGAATGCTTGGAAGCTTATTGGTTCTCGCTCCTGGTTAGAGATCTACCCAACCCACAGGTCCACAAGGACTGGCCGATCTTACCCTGCAGGTTGAACCTAGGAATTGATTGTTCAACTTCACATTCTTGTCATTAAAGGCCTGTGACAAAGGTGCATCTATTGGAGTGACATCGTCCCAAGCTTACACATCTACCGGGTCTCTATTTGACTTTGTATTGTCTAGGAAATCCACCCACACCTCCACTTCCACAAACTGCTGGGAGTAGCCTCGCTCTGCCTCACAGTCAGAATTCTCCTCCTGCTTCACGTTGCCTCCATCGATGTTAAGGTCCCATTGTGGAGTTGAATTTTCATCTTCACATTTTACCTTCACTTCTTCGCTCTTCACCATCACTTCTTCACATTTCACCTTCACCTCTTCATATTTCACCTCGATACCTTTAAAAGTGTCCAAGCTGGGTTTTTCTTCCGGTTCTTGTTTCATGAGGGATGAGCTCATTGCGGCACTTTGACTTTCACAAGCTGATTTCAGACTCCACTCCTTGTGGATCTTCTGATGCTTGTGAGTTCTCTGGTGTACATGAAGATGTGGTGACTGTGCAAACGCCTTCCCACACACACTGCACTTGAAGGGTTTCTCTCCTGTGTGTGTTCTCTGGTGTATTTGAAGATTTGGTAAAAGTGCAAACGCCTTCCCACACACACTGCACTTGAAGGGTTTCTCTCCCGTGTGAGTTCTCTGGTGCCTTACAAGAGCAGATGGATCTGAAAACGCCTTCCCACACACACTGCACTTGAAGGGTTTCTCTCCCGTGTGAGTTCTCTGGTGTCTTACAAGAGTAGATGGATCTGAAAACGCCTTCCCACACACACTGCACTTGAAGGGTTTCTCTCCTGTGTGTGTTCTCTGGTGTATTTGAAGATTTGGTGAAAGTGCAAAAGCCTTCCCACACACACTGCACTTGAAGGGTTTCTCTCCTGTGTGTGTTCTCTGGTGTCTTTGAAGATTTGTTGAACGTGAAAACGCCTTCCCACACACACTGCACTTGAAGGGTTTCTCTCCTGTGTGTGTTCTCTGGTGTAATTGAAGATTTGGTGAAAGTGCAAACGCCTTCCCACACACACTGCACTTGAAGGGTTTCTCTCCTGTGTGTGTTCTCTGGTGTAATTGAAGATTTGGTGAAAGTGCAAACGCCTTCCCACACACACTGCACTTGAAGGGTCTTTCTCCCGTGTGTGTTCTCTGGTGTCTTACAAGAGCAGATGGATCTGAAAACGCTTTCCCACACAAACTGCACTTAAAGAGTTTCTCTCCTGTGTGCGTTCTCTGGTGTACTTGAAGATGTGGTGACTGTGAAAAAGCCTTCCCACACACACTGCACTTGAAGGGTTTCTCTCCCGTGTGTGTTCTCTGGTGTTTTTTAAGATTAGATGAATGTGCAAACGCCTTCCCACACACACTGCACTTGAAGGGTTTCTCTCCTGTGTGTGTTCTCTGGTGTATTTGAAGATTTGGTGAAAGTGAAAAGGCCTTCCCACACACACTGCACTTGAAGGGTTTCTCTCCTGTGTGTGTTCTCTGGTGCCGTGTCAAATTTCCAGTACGATCTGTGTTGTTTGCATGCCGGTCGCATTGTTGCCTTTTTGCACCGAGCCGCGCCGAGTGCCTTTGCTCCATCAGACAAATTCTGCAGAGGAAGCGACAGCTGCAGACAGAAAAAAAGAATATAAACACCATCTACACGTCAGTATCGATGCACAGAGGAATGCATACACACAGTAACACGTGACTAACACGTCTATACTTATTCATATATTAATGTTATCGTGAAAAAGTGTCCCAAATTCATCAAACGGGCTGTTATGGCACACAATGAGAGGGCAAATGGTCAAAAACGTGTCTGGAAGCCCTAGTATCTTCAAAATGAATGTTAACCTAAAACTCCGAGCACACAATTTTGGATGTCTGGCTACAAAAGGAATATTTATGAAAGTTAAATTCAGCTGACATAGCAAAGGGTGTTGAAAATAATACTATTTGTGTTATGCATAAATGAATGTTTAATCGCAACTTAGAGGTGTGAAGCCAGGCACAGATGTCCTTGAATGCTGGGATGAACAGTTCCGATTTCAGCTGCACGTGTGCTGTGATAACTTCCCGACTACATTCAAACAAAGAGTTCCAGAGAAAAACAAAAATAAACTGTTTTGATATCACCTCCGTGCTCAATAGAGTTAATAGATTATGAGACCTCCTTTGCCAGTAACAAGATATAGTAATAGGTTTTACTCTTTTAACTGGAACAAAAAACTGACACCTTCATTCAAGGCATCATGTTTGCAATAACCACAACACAAGCAGTCAAAATGCAAACAATAGAGACAACTCTGATAATAAGCACTGTCCTTGAATTTGATTGGTCCACACCCGAGACGCCTTTTGGCGTCTTCTGTTTCAACACCAGTGGAGACTAGGTTCTAAGAAAAGCCGTCTCGGGTGTGGACCAATCAATTTCAAGGACAGTGCTTAGTATTATCAGAGTTGTCTCATTTGTTTGCATTTTGACTGCTTGTGTTGTGGTTATTGCAAACATGATGACTTGAATAAAGGTGTCAGTTTTTTTGTGCCAGTTAAAAGGGTAAAACCTATTACTATATAGAGTTAAAAGGCTTTACTGCAAATACAAACTTGACACTATCACACACTCAGAGGCGGAGCCATGAGCAACCCCTCCAGCAATGAAACATTATGAGTTGTTATTAAGTAAGGAGTTGTTAGTAAGGAGTTGTTAGTAAGGAGTTGTTACTAAGGACTTGTCCTAATCCTTTTTATTCGACGTGTGTGATAGGCATCGCGCTCGCTGACGGTGTTTGCCTTCAGGGAAGTCGTGTACTGTATACGTAACTGCACACAATTCTGAGTCGCTTGTAACTGCTTTGCCGTTACTTATTGCCAATTATGGACTCGGACTGTTGTCCTCTTATAGAGTCCCTGGCACGTAATAAAATGCCACACGGTGGCAGTGGGGGGGGGTCGCAAAATGCTGATTTATCTATATATATAAAAGCGAAATGTGTGGATATGTGTGTCTCTTCGAAAGTGTTTAGCATACTTCCCAACATGCTACACACTTGAAATTTGGCATGTGGGTAGGTTCCATACTGTACACAATGTAAAAAGTATAAAAATAGACTTGTGTATTTTGGGGGGGTGGGAAATGACCATGGAGTGTGTGACGTCAACCCGCAACACACCTGAGTTAAGCGCTCTGCAATGCTTACCCCTACCATATGGCTCTTCGTGCACCGTACTTCTAGAGCTGTTAACAGCATGCCGGGAGATTTTAGGTGGTGCTTTGCTCCTGGCCGATGAAGCCATTGGCTTCTCGGAGTTTCAATACATATGGGTGCGAAGAACGGGTACAACGGCTATTAAATATAAAGCAGAAATAGCATCTGTTTGTGTGAAGCATCAAAAACTATCCAACGCTGAGCTCTGGCATCATGAAAATTTCACAGCTTATGCTGTCTGGAATTTCTAAATGAACGCGACTATTTTCAGCTCGCCACGTCATTCCCTTCCGGAGTGGCCAAAATCGACCTTGCGTAGAAGTGGATTAAGGTTAAATTTCCTTGAGTGAAAACATCCGATTTAGGGAACTTGATTTGTTTCGGCTTTTTTCTTTCTTGCAAGCATCAAATTTTTTCAGGGGTTTTCAGTGAAAGACAAGGGAATATGAAATTTGAAATTTATCCAAGTCAAGAATCCAAGTCCCGGGCGAAGCCGGGTAGTGAAGCTAGTTACTAATAAACCCCAATGATCCGATCGAAATTAGAGATTTCAATCGGACCGTTGGGGGGGTACGTGCCACCCCACCCCCACTGGCTCCACCACTGTCACACACTGGCATGGTTCACAGGTGGTGGTGTGTCCAGACCCACGCCTGGCCACCTTCACCTGCTCAGTATTAATGGTTCCTCACTCCACAAAGTAATTCATTGAGGATAAATAAACACAGCTGAGGCTGCGTGTCTCTCTCTCTCTCCCCGTGGTCGCGTGGATTTCCTTCCCGATCCCCGGGTTTCCCCTCCATATGTAGAGAGTGAACACCGCCACGCGCCCAGAGTGAACACCGCCACGCGTCTAGAGTGAACACCGCCACGCGTCCAGAGTGAACACCGCCACGCGTCCAGAGTGAACACCGCCACGCGTCTAGAGTGAACACCGCCACGCGTCCAGAGTGAACACCGCCACACGTCTAGAGTGAACACCGCCACGCGTCTAGAGTGAACACCGCCACGCGTCCAGAGTGAACACCGCCACGCGTCCAGAGTGAACACCACCACACGTCTAGAGTGAACACCACCACACGTATAGAGATTGAACACCACCACGCTGTTGACAAGCCCCACCTTGTTGTTATTGTTGTTGTGGGCAGGTCGCTTCTGAAAACAAGAACGGTACAGCAGCTCAACGTGGGCGTGGCCTGGTAAAGAAATAAAAATAAAACTGTGGATATTTAAAACAAAACAAAGTTACAAAGTAGCGAGCCAGGTGAAGAGAAATTAAAACTAAAGCAAGATACTCTTTGGTTCTTTCGGTAAAGCCACGTAGAAAAAAAATTAAATAAATTAAATAATAGTTTCAGTTTAATTCATTTGGTATAGCCCTGTGAGCCATTTGGCTCTTGACTCGGGTGCAACCGCAATAAACAAAAAACATGAACAAGAAAACATCTTAAAGTGACTATGTGACTGTGCAAACAAAGAATCCAGGAAAAAACAGCAAAAATATTGCACAAAAAGCACCGTACACCAACGCTGTGTGCAAATGGCATGCGACGTTTCGATTGCAACACAAGCAATCATCATCAGGTACAAGTGAAAGAGAAGACAAACCTAGTAAACTTAGAAACGTATTGCAATACAACAGAGAGTCGGCTAACAGAACAGTCAACAACACCCCACCTGGGTGATTACTTTCTTACAAAGATTGCTAAATTAAGCGAGAGAATTGAAGCAAACGCGATCAGGCGAGGGCAGGAGGCAAGGCCCCGCGTGGCTAGGCCCCGCGCTGTAAAGTTCCAACCTGGACATCGCTTTCATGCTCGCTGCTACACAATTGACATCCCTACGAGAGAGAGCGAGGCTCTACCTCTGTAAACAACCACCACCACCACCACTACAACCAGCACCACAACCACCACCACAACTACAACCACCACCACAACCACCACCAGCACCAAAACAACCAGCACCAAAACAACCACCACCAAAACAACCACCACCACAACCACAAACACCACCACAACAACCACCACAACAACCACCACAACAACCACCACCACAACAACCACCACAGCAACAACCACCACCACTCCAACAACCACTACCACAACAACCACCACAACCTCAAACACCACCACAACCACCACCAATACAACCACCACTACAACCACCACCACTACAACCACCACCACAACAACCATAACAACCACCACCACAACCACGACCACAACCACCACCACCACCACAACCACCACCACCACAACCACCACCACAACAACCACCACCACAACCACCACTACAACCACCACCACAACAACCACCACCACAACAACTACCACAACAACCACCACCACAACCACCACAACCACCACAACTACTACCAACAACACCACCACCACCACCACAACCACCACCACAACAACCACTACCACAACAACCACCACCACCACAACAACCACCACCACAACCACCACAACAACCACAACTACTACCAACAACACCACCACCACCACCACCACAACAACCACCACCACAACCACCACCACCACAACAACCACCACCACCACAACTACCACTACCACCACCACAACAACCACCACAACCACCACCACAACAAGTAAAACAAAGTGACAAAGTGGCGAGCCGAGTGAAGACAAATTAAACTTATGCGAGAGAATTTAAGCAAACGCGATCAGGCGAGGGCAGGAGGCAAGGCCCCGCCGCGTGGCTAGGCCGCACGCTGTAAACTTCCAACCTGGACATCGCTTCCATGCTCGCTGCTACTCAATTGACATCCCTACGAGAGAGAGCGAGGCTCTACCTCGGCAAACAACAACCACCACAACAACCACCACCACAACAACCACCACAACAACCACCACAACAACCACCACAACAACCACCACAACAACCACCACAACAACCACCACCACCACAACCGCGATGAGAATAACTCACCTCGGATTTCAGTGCACGGCGGAGCAGCAGCTTCCTGTTAATTCGTGACGTCACGCGGCAGCAGGAGTTGACATGACGTCACTTGCGGGTACAAAACTCCCCTCCCACAATGAGCGGTTCTTAACTTGAATAAATTATGTTAATGAGTCTGACCCATACGTGAAGGGATGGGCGGGGGTGCCGAACTCGTCGCAATAAACTCGCGACGGCTTTCATGAATTCATTATGTTAATGAACCGCCGGTCAGTGGGAGTAGCTTTGCCCAAATAAGGATTCTACTTGAACAGATAACGGAAGTGACCCAGGCAGAGGTGACGTCACGCTCAGGGCGCGGTCAACGGGGTGGGGTGAATACCTTGGTGACATGACGTCACTAGCGAGGTACACTTCCCCCTGGCGTTTCACGCCGATGAGGAATTGCTGAGTGGTGACGTCATAGAGCGGGGTTGGAGTTTAAGTTGATTTAGATTCATTTTCCATTGCTCCCTCCCTTGATCAGAGACCCCTTGGGTGTGTGTTTGTACACTGTGTTTGTACACTGTGTGTGTACACTGTGTGTGTGTGCACTGTGTGAGTGGGGGCCAAGCCTCCACGCAGATTGAGGCGAACCGAGTGGTCACTGCAGGAATTAATATCCTTGGTTCTTTCGGTAAAGTCAGGTAAATTAAAAAAACATGTTTCATTAAAGAAAAAAACTTAAATTAAATGACAATTTTAATAATAAAAATAAACATTTTTTTTACATTATGAGACCTCCTTTGCCAGTAACAAGATATAGGAATAGGTTTTACCCTTTTAACTGGCACAAAAACTGACACCTTTATTCAAGGCATCATGTTTGCAATAACCACAACACAAGCAGTCAAACTGCAAACAAAAGAGACAACTCTGATAATAATACTGGCACTGTCCTTGAATTTGATTGGTCCACACCCGAGACGCCTTTTGGCGTCTTCTGGTTCAACACCAGTGGAGACTAAGTTCTAAGAAAAGCCGTCTCGGGTGTGGACCAATCAATTTCAAGGACAGTGCATATTATTATCAGAGTTGTCTCTTTTGTTGGCAAATTGACTGCTTGTGTTGTGGTTATTGCAAACATGATGCCTTGAATAAAGGTGTCAGTTTTTGTGCCAGTTAAAAGGGTAAAACCTATTCCTATAAACACATTTTTTCTGTATTATTGTTTTCTATTTACATGACTTTAATCAGAAAGGGTTTTAATCAGAAAGGGTTTTATTCGCCATGAAAGTTCGCACAGACAAGGAATTTACATTCAACATATAGGAATCTTAAATCTTAAATAAGTGGTATACAAATTTCGATTTAAAGCTTTCGTGACTGCAAGGATTCATCTTCTTTGGTTCTTTCGGTAAAGTCACGTAGAATGAGAATAAAATAATAAATTAATAAAACAAAATAACACAATAAAATTCTCACGACGTTTCGGCCACAACACAAGTGGCCTTCATCAGGTGAAGGGACGAGACTGTCTCGAGGACAGCGCTGGAGCGAACACAGCCAAGCTCAGACCGCGACCTTTAAGCTGTGTGAGAAGAGAGCGCCTTTACAAAGGAATTAGCATAAAAATTAGCATTTAAATGGCGGACTTAGCATGATGAACGGTGTAGAGGGGGTGAACATATGCAGACCGGCGAGGGGGGGAGGGGGAGTTTACATATTGATGGTGTGAAAAGGGAATTTAGGCTGATGCGAAAGTTTGGGATACCACTACTTGAAAAGATATACTGTACCATTGGAAATTAGTTTAATGTTTGGTTCGGATAATTCAGCATTGAAATAGCTGCGTGATTAGCTTGTGACTGGTCATAGAAATAGCTATGTTAAAGTCAAATCCTACACATCCACAGAGGCACCTAGTACAAATCAAACAGGAGAATTTAGCATTGAAATAGCTGAGTGATTAGCTTTTGACTGGTCACAAAAATGGCTATGTTAAAGTCAAAGCCTACACATCTACAGAGGCACCTAGTACAAATCAAACAGGAGAATTTAGCATTGAAATAACTGAGGGATTAGCTTGTGACTGGTCATAGAAATAGCTATGTTAAAGTCAAAGCCTACACATCTACAGAGGCACCTAGTATATGGACGCCAAAGGGGCTGCAACAACTCGACAATCATATAGTAAACCGATGTGAAAAAACCTAAGTCTAAATTACATCAATATAATAAATGTACTCAACATATTCTTCAATAAGCTGAGCTATTAACAGTAACTGGGTATACATGAAACTATAATGAATACCATATAGTAAACCAATAAAAAACTAAAATATAAACTACCTCAATGTTTTCAATAAACTATATATTCTCCAATCAGCTAAGCTACCAACAATAAGTCGTTATATATCACAATGCTATATGGTGGAAAAATGGGTGGATTCTTATTCATATTCTTACCCTCAACTTTAGAACCACGGATAGCTACGAGCCCCGTTCAGACAGACGAGTTCATCCATGGTCGGAACGGAGGAGGGGGAGAGAGTCAGCTGCGAGGCGCTATTATACTCCATGTTGTAAACCATACCATTAACCGTGGTGTGAGAGGTATTAAGAGTCAATGCCAGCGAAAGAGCTGCGGGCTGAAGGTCATCGTAAAATACAATTAAGAACCTAAATGGTTTAAAATATCTTTCCAATGGTTACTAAGCCAGAATCCATCTTCGCAGTTGAAATTGTCTCTGTGCTTGTATATGTGAATGGCCTCATGAACGAATCTCTCATGGTAGCCGGTTGGTTTGCAAAGAACCTCCGTCTTGGAGAAGTCAATGTCATGTGAGCCCACTGAATAATAACAGTGATCTGCCACGGCAGAGGAGTTCGTTCTACCGTGTTTCAAGTCTGCTTTATGTTCGCGGATGCGGTCCGAGATATGTTGTTTGGTTTCTCCAATGCAGCTACTACCACAGAGGCACTTTAGTTTGTAAATGCCCGGGTACTGTATGTCTGGAACAGCATCTTTTACAGATGGAACCAGATCACGGATTTTATGTACTGTGTTGAATCGGACCTGGATCTTGTGTTTATTCAGGATTTTGGATATATTTTTAGTGACCCCTGCAATGTAGGGTAAGGTGATGGTTTTGAGTGGCTCCACAAGAGGATCCTTCTTCATGACTGGAGTGATGGCTTTGCGGATTTTGTAGTCGGAGTAACACTGTGTGTGTACAGTGTGTAAATTGTGTGTGTACAATGTGTATGTGTTTACAATGTGTATGTGTGTACAATGTGTATGTGTGTGTACACTGTGTGTGTACACGGTGTGTACACGGTGTGTACACGGTGTGTACACGGTGTGTGTGTGTGTGTACACGGTGTGTGTACACTGTGTGTGTACACGGTGTGTGTACACTGTGTGTGTACACGGTGTGTGTGTGTAGACTGTGTGTAGACTGTGTGTGTGCACTGTGTGAGTGGGGGCCAAGCCTCCACGCAGATTGAGGCGAACCGAGTGGTCACAGCAGGAATTAATATTCTTGGTTCTTTCGGTAAAGTCAGGTAAATTAAAAAAACATGTTTCATTAAAGAAAAAAACTTAAATTAAATGACAATTTTAATAATAAAAATAAACATTTTTTTTACATTATGAGACCTCCTTTGCCAGTAACAAGATATAGGAATAGGTTTTACCCTTTTAACTGGCACAAAAACTGACACCTTTATTCAAGGCATCATGTTTGCAATAACCACAACACAAGCAGTCAAAATGTACAACATACTATTGAGCCATTCAAAACGAGTAGGCCATTGCATGCTGGCGTCTGGGTAAAAATGTATGAAATTCTAAACATTACCTACAAACTCCACAACCAAGATGCCACATCAACCATCGCCCCCTACTGACAGGCTCTTGTCCACATGCAGGCCGGTGCAGGGCCACCAACTTGTGCCACACAGGGGCAGCTGCTACTTGGGGATGCTCTTCAAGTGTTTGAGACGAGATACGATACAAAACTCCGAATTGCCAGAGGCGATTAAGCAAGCACCGTATAAATGGAATTATTAGAACATAGTGAATGCTTGGAAGCTTATTGGTTCTCGCTCCTGGTTAGAGATCTACCCAACCCACAGGTCAACAAAGACTGGCCGATCTTACCCTGCAGGTTGAACCTAGGAATTGATTGTTCAACTTCACATTCTTGTCATTAAAGGCCTGTGACAAAGGTGCATCTATTGGAGCGACATCGTCCCAAGCTTACACATCTACCGGGTCTCTATTTGACTTTGTATTGTCTAGGAAATCCACCCACACCTCCACTTCCACAAACTGCTGGGAGTAGCCTCGCTCTGCCTCACAGTCAGAATTCTCCTCCTGCTTCACGTTGCCTCCATCGATGTTAAGGTCCCATTGTGGAGTTGAATTTTCATCTTCACATTTTACCTTCACTTCTTCGCTCTTCACCATCACTTCTTCACATTTCACCTTCACCTCTTCATACTTCACCTCGATACCTTTAAAAGTGTCCAAGCTGGGTTTTTCTTCCGGTTCTTGTTTCATGAGGGATGAGCTCATTGCGGCACTTTGACTTTCACAAGCTGATTTCAGACTCCACTCCTTGTGGATCTTCTGATGCTTGTGAGTTCTCTGGTGTACATGAAGATGTGGTGACTGTGCAAACGCCTTCCCACACACACTGCACTTGAAGGGTTTCTCTCCTGTGTGTGTTCTCTGGTGTATTTGAAGATTTGGTAAAAGTGCAAACGCCTTCCCACACACACTGCACTTGAAGGGTTTCTCTCCCGTGTGAGTTCTCTGGTGCCTTACAAGAGCAGATGGATCTGAAAACGCCTTCCCACACACACTGCACTTGAAGGGTTTCTCTCCCGTGTGAGTTCTCTGGTGTCTTACAAGAGTAGATGGATCTGAAAACGCCTTCCCACACACACTGCACTTGAAGGGTTTCTCTCCTGTGTGTGTTCTCTGGTGTATTTGAAGATTTGGTGAAAGTGCAAAAGCCTTCCCACACACACTGCACTTGAAGGGTTTCTCTCCTGTGTGTGTTCTCTGGTGTCTTTGAAGATTTGTTGAACGTGAAAACGCCTTCCCACACACACTGCACTTGAAGGGTTTCTCTCCTGTGTGTGTTCTCTGGTGTAATTGAAGATTTGGTGAAAGTGCAAACGCCTTCCCACACACACTGCACTTGAAGGGTTTCTCTCCTGTGTGTGTTCTCTGGTGTAATTGAAGATTTGGTGAAAGTGCAAACGCCTTCCCACACACACTGCACTTGAAGGGTCTTTCTCCCGTGTGTGTTCTCTGGTGTCTTACAAGAGCAGATGGATCTGAAAACGCTTTCCCACACAAACTGCACTTAAAGAGTTTCTCTCCTGTGTGCGTTCTCTGGTGTACTTGAAGATGTGGTGACTGTGAAAACGCCTTCCCACACACACTGCACTTGAAGGGTTTCTCTCCCGTGTGTGTTCTCTGGTGTTTTTTAAGATTAGATGAATGTGCAAACGCCTTCCCACACACACTGCACTTGAAGGGTTTCTCTCCTGTGTGTGTTCTCTGGTGTATTTGAAGATTTGGTGAAAGTGAAAAGGCCTTCCCACACACACTGCACTTGAAGGGTTTCTCTCCTGTGTGTGTTCTATGGTGCCGTGTCAAATTTCCAGTACGATCTGTGTTGTTTGCATGCCGGTCGCATTGTTGCCTTTTTGCACCGAACCGCGCCGAGTGCCTTTGCTCCATCGGACAAATTCTGCAGAGGAAGCGACAGCTGCAGACAGAAAAAAAGAATATAAACACCATCTACACGTCAGTATCGATGCACAGAGGAATGCATACACACAGTAACACGTGACTAACACGTCTATACTTATTCATATATTAATTTTATCGTGAAAAAGTGTCCCAAATTCATCAAACGGGCTGTTATGGCACACAATGAGAGGGCAAATGGTCAAAAACGTGTCTGGAAACCCTAGCATCTTCAAAATGAATGTTAACCTAAAACTCCGAGCACACAATTTCGGATGTCTGGCTACAAAAGGAATATTTATAAAAGCTAAATTCAGCTGACATAGCAAAGGGTGTTGAAAATAATACTATTTGTGTTATGCAGAAATGCATAAATTAATGTTCAATCGCAACTTAGAGGTGTGAAGCCAGGCACAGATGTCCTTGAATGCTGGGATGAACAGTTCCGACTTCAGCTGCACGTGTGCTGTGATAACTTCCCGACTACATTCAAACAAAGAGTTCCAGAGAAAAACAAAAATAAACTGTTTTGATATAACCTCCGTGCTCAATAGAGTTAATATATTATGAGACCTCCTTTGCTAGTAACAAGATATAGTAATAGGTTTTACTCTTTTAACTGGAACAAAAAACTGACACCTTCATTCAAGGCATCATGTTTGCAATAACCACAACACAAGCAGTCAAAATGCAAACAATAGAGACAACTCTGATAATAAGCACTGTCCTTGAATTTGATTGGTCCACACCCGAGACGCCTTTTGGCGTCTTCTGTTTCAACACCAGTGGAGACTAGGTTCTAAGAAAAGCCGTCTCGGGTGTGGACCAATCAATTTCAAGGACAGTGCTTAGTATTATCAGAGTTGTCTCATTTGTTTGCATTTTGACTGCTTGTGTTGTGGTTATTGCAAACATGATGACTTGAATAAAGGTGTCAGTTTTTTTGTGCCAGTTAAAAGGGTAAAACCTATTACTATATAGAGTTAAAAGGCTTTACTGCAAATACAAACTTGACACTATCACACACTCAGAGGCGGAGCCATGAGCAACCCCTCCAGCAATGAAACATTATGAGTTGTTATTAAGTAAGGAGTTGTTAGTAAGGAGTTGTTAGTAAGGAGTTGTTACTAAGGACTTGTCCTAATCCTTTTTATTCGACGTGTGTGATAGGCATCGCGCTCGCTGACGGTGTTTGCCTTCAGGGAAGTCGTGTACTGTATACGTAACTGCACACAATTCTGAGTCGCTTGTAACTGCTTTGCCGTTACTTATTGCCAATTATGGACTCGGACTGTTGTCCTCTTATAGAGTCCCTGGCACGTAATAAAATGCCACACGGTGGCAGTGGGGGGGGGGTCGCAAAATGCTGATTTATCTATATATATAAAAGCGAAATGTGTGGATATGTGTGTCTCTTCGAAAGTGTTTAGCATACTTCCCAACATGCTACACACTTGAAATTTGGCATGTGGGTAGGTTCCATACTGTACACAATGTAAAAAGTATAAAAATAGACTTTTGTATTTTGGGGGGGGGGGGGGGGGGGGGGAAATGACCATGGAGTGTGTGACGTCAACCCGCAACACACCTGAGTTAAGCGCTCTGCAATGCTTACCCCTACCATATGGCTCTTCGTGCACCGTACTTCTAGAGCTGTTAACAGCATGCCGGGAGATTTTAGGTGGTGCTTTGCTCCTGGCCGATGAAGCCATTGGCTTCTCGGAGTTTCAATACATATGGGTGCGAAGAACGGGTACAACGGCTATTAAATATAAAGCAGAAATAGCATCTGTTTGTGTGAAGCATCAAAAACTATCCAACGCTGAGCTCTGGCATCATGGAAATTTCACAGCTTATGCTGTCTGGAATTTCTAAATGAACGCGACTATTTTCAGCTCGCCACGTCATTCCCTTCCGGAGTGGCCAAAATCGACCTTGCGTAGAAGTGGATTAAGGTTAAATTTCCTTGAGTGAAAACATCCGATTTAGGGAACTTGATTTGTTTCGGCTTTTTTCTTTCTTGCAAGCATCAAATTTTTTCAGGGGTTTTCAGTGAAAGACAAGGGAATATGAAATTTGAAATTTATCCAAGTCAAGAATCCAAGTCCCGGGCAAAGCCGGGTAGTGAAGCTAGTTACTAATAAACCCCAATGATCCGATCGAAATTAGAGATTTCAATCGGACCATTGGGGGGGTACGTGCCACCCCACCCCCACTGGCTCCACCACTGTCACACACTGGCATGGTTCACAGGTGGTGGTGTGTCCAGACCCACGCCTGGCCACCTTCACCTGCTCAAAATTCTTGCTTTCTCACTCCACCAAGTAGAGTGAACACCACCACGCGTCTAGAGTGAACACCACCACGCGTCTAGAGTGAACACCACCACGCGCCCAGAGTGAACACCACCACGCGTCTAGAGTGAACACCGCCACGCGTCTAGAGTGAACACCGCCACCCGTCTAGAGTGAACACCGCCACGCGTCTAGAGTGAACACCGCCACGCGTCTAGAGTGAACACCACCACACGTCTAGAGTGAACACCGCCACGCGTCTAGAGTGAACACTGCCACGCGTCTAGAGTGAACACCGCCACGTGTCTAGAGTGAACACCGCCACCCGTCCAGAGTGAACACCACCACGCTGTTCACGAGCCTCACCTTGTGTTGTGGGCAGGTCGCTTCCAAAAACAAAAGCGGCACAGCAGCTCAAGCGGGCTTGGCCTGGTAAAAAAGAATGAAATAAAAACTGCGTGAATATTTAAAAGTAAAACAAAGTGACAAAGTGGCGAGCCGAGTGAAGACAAATTAAACTTAAGCGAGGGAATTGAAGCAAACGCGATCAGGCGAGGGCAGGAGGCAAGGCCCCGTGTGGTTAGGCCCCGCGCTGTAAAGTTCCAACCTGGACATCGCTTCCATGCTCGCTGATACTCAATTGACATCCCTACGAGAGAGAGCGAGGCTCTACCTCGGTAAACAACAACCACCACCACAACAACCACCACCACAACCACTACCACCACAACCACCACCACCACAACCACCACCAATACAACCACCACAAACACCACCACCAAAACCACAACAACCACCACCACAACAACCACAACCACCACCAATACAACCACCAGAAACACCACAACAACCACCACAACCACCATCACAACCACAACCACCACCACCAATACAACCACCACAAACACCACCACCACAACAACCACCACCACAACCACCAAAACCACAACAACTACCACCAAAACCACCACCACAACAACTACCACCACAACCACCACCAATACAACCACCACCAATACAACCACCACCAATACAACCACCACAAACACCACCACAAACACCACCACAACCACCATCACAACCACAACCACCATCACAACCACCACCACAACGACCACCACCACAACCACCACCACCACAACCACCATCACAACCACAACCACCATCACAACCACCACCACAACCACCACCAATACAACCACCACAAACACCACCACCAATACAACCACAACAACAACCACCACCACCACCACAACAACCACCACAACAACCACAACAAGTAAAACAAAGTGACAAAGTGGCGAGCCGAGTGAAGACAAATTAAACTTAAGCGAGAGAATTGAAGCAAACGCGATCAGGCGAGGGCAGGAGGCAAGGCCCCGCGTGGCTAGGCCCCGCGCTGTAAAGTTCCAACCTGGACATCGCTTCCATGCTCGCTGCTACTCAATTGACATCCCTACGAGAGAGAGCGAGGCTCTACCTCGGTAAACAACAACAACCACCACAACAACCACCACCACAACAACAACCACCACCACAACCACCACCACCACAACCGCGATGAGAATTTCTGACCTCGGATTTCAGTGCACGGCGGAGCAGCAGCTTCCTGTTATCTCGTGACGTCACGCGGCAGCAGACGTTGACATGACGTCACTTGCGGGGAACAAAACACTCCCCTCCCACAATGAGCAACTCTGTTACTTAAATAAATTATGTTAATGAGTCTGGCCCATACGTGGAGGGATGGGGCGTGGGTGCCGAACTCGTCGCAATAAACTCGCGACGGCTTTCATGAATATATTATGTTAATGAGCCGCCAGTCACCGGGAGTAGCTTTGCCCAAATAAGGATTGTACTTCAACACGTGATGATGACCGTTTGTGTTATGGTCGAAACGTCGTGAGAATTTTTATTGTTTTATATATATTGTATTATTTTATTGTTTCCCTTCAACGTGACTTTACCGAAAGAGCTAAGAATATGAATTACAGCAGTCACGAAAGCTTTAAATCAAAATTTAATCGCCTCTACGGGGAGGGTTTCCACATAACTTTAAGATCTTTCAACAAACTCCGGGATAAGAAGGCTCAGCTGATCGAGTCTCTCACCTTTCTGAAGAGATGCCGCGACTCTGGGGTAATACCAATCGCATTTACACTGACCTCTGCTGCTGTAACTTCTTCTAATGCTAAACGAATTCTTTTCAAAACTAGCTTAGCTCTTATCTCAGAGAAAATCAGATTATACGCACCGAACTAGATCAGTTAGACAAGACACTCTACAAATCACACTTATCATTGACGGCAATAATGTCCACATCGGATTGGGAACATGTAGACAATATGACTGCCTCTTCAGCTGCTACTATGTCGACCAAATGTAAGGAAAACCTGATTTCCAAATTTAACCTCCTCTTCAACAAAAGACCGGACCCATACACCAAAAAGTTAGACGTTAATAAAGTCGTAATTAATCGCAGTAACAGTTCTATTTCCGATGGTCTGAAATCCGTTTTAGCTAAAGGTCTAAACTTTGCAGTCACACCTAAACACATACCAGTTAATGATATAATTGCCCAAGTAGACGTTGCTCTCAGGGGCCTGGGTCACATCGCTGCAGACGTAGCAAGATCTGAAATCGCTGCAACCCTCAAAAACGCTAAGATGCCAGCTAGCAACCTCAGCAAAGATGAGCGTTTTGAATTATATAAATTAAAAAAGAGGAATGATATTGTAGTTCTCTCAGCTGACAAAGGCAATGCTACTGTTATCATGGATAAAATAGAATACAACAACAAAATTAAAGAATTACTCGACGATGGTAGTTATACAAAAATAAAAAGAGATCCCACCAACAGCCTCGTCACACAAACCAACAAAATAATTTCTGATTCAACCGCATTAATTGATCAATCTAAACAGTTTTCGTTGAAACCTTCTGCTGCCAGGCCACCAAGATTATACGGCTTACCAAAAATACATAAAGTTGATACACCTCTTCGTCCCATAGTCTCTACTATCAGCTCCCCCACCTACAAACTAGCTCGTTTTTTGTCTGAAATCCTGCGTCCTTTCACTGGAAAAACCACCTCTGCGGTACAAAATTCTACTCACCTGGTATCAACAATCAAGGGTATTTCCCTGTCCCCAGACGACCTGCTTGTCAGTTTTGATGTAGTTTCCTTATTCACCAAGGTTCCTGTACCTGACACCATTGCAATCATTGAAGACTTGGTTCATCAAGGACTAAACACTGAGGTACCCCCCCTGGTGAGACACTGTTTAACCAATACATACTTCACTTGGAATGGAACTTTCTACAAACAAACTGAGGTCACCCCAATGGGCTCCCCCCTTTCTCCAGTTATAGCTAACATTTTCATGGAGAAATTTGAGACTGACGCCATCCAGACTGCCACTCTGCGCCCAACCTTATGGAAGAGGTACGTGGATGACACTTTTGTCATCTGGCCACATGGCCGGCCTGCTCTAGACCAATTCTTCGACCACATCAATTCCATACACCCAGCCATCAGATTTACCATGGAAGTCGAAATAGATGGCAAGATACCTTTTTTGGATGTCCTAATTAAAAAGAGACCTGATGGTTCAATGAGCCACTCTGTCTACAGGAAAGCTACCCATACGGATGCTTATCTGAAACCGGATTCCCACCACCATCCATCACAGAAGAATTATCTCATCAAGACTCTGTATCATAGAGCCCAATGCATATCCGACCAGGAACACATAAGCAGTGAACTCAAGCACGTACACCAAGCTCTTAGGGCTAATGGTTACTCCGACTATGCAATCCGCAAAGCTATCACTCAAACCATGAAGAAGAACCCTCTTGAGGAGCCTTTCAAAACCAACACTTTACCCTACATTGCGGGGATCACAAAAAAGATCTCCAAAATCTTGAATAAACACAAGATCCAGGTCCGTTTCAACACATTACATAAAATCCGTGATCTGGTTCCGTCTGTAAAAGATGTGATTCCGGACATACAGTACCCTGGTGTCTACAAACTAAGTTGCCTCTGTGGTAGTAGTTACATTGGAGAAACCAAACGCCATGTCTCAGACCGCATTCGTGAACATAAAGCAGACCTTAAACACGGTAGGACCAACACCTCGGCCGTAGCAGATCATTGTTCTAATTCAGTAGGCTCACATGACATTGACTTTTCCAAGACAGAGGTTCTTTGTAAGCCATCTGGCTACCATGAGCGATTCGTTCATGAGGCTATCCACATAAACAAGCACAGAGACAATTTCAACCGAGAAGATGGATTCTATCTTAGCAATCATTGGAAAGATTTGATAAATCATTTCAGTTCTTGATTGATTGTTCACGCTTACAGTGGCTTTCAGACAGCATACATAAAAACAAATTTCGTCTCCCCCCTCCTCTTTTCAAAAAATAGATTGACTAGTCCTGGGCAAACTGCCAATCGTTGCGCGTGACGCAAACGTTATTTTTTATATATATATAAATAAATATGCCGTTTTCAAAATAAATTTATGCAAACCGACACACCTGATGATGACCGTTTGAGTTATGGTCGAAACGTCGTGAGAATTTTTTATTGTTTTATATATATTTTGTTATTTTGTCGTTTCTCTTCAACGTGACTTTACCGAAAAAACTAAGAATATCAAGGCATCATGTTTGCAATAACCACAACACAAGCAGTCAAAATGCAAACAAAAGAGACAACTCTGATAATAATACTGGCACTGTCCTTGAATTTGATTGGTCCACACCCGAGACG